AATTAATGCTACAGGAGAAGATAAAGTTAGGATGATAAGTTGAAAGATGAGACCATTAATGAGAATATTCTGACTGATGGAAAGAACCTGTAGAGATAATGATCCTCAACGTGCCATGCAAACATGCTAAAGAGCATTCCTATGTACAGCATGGGATCCGTTACTCCCTGAAAATAAGGGTTATCTGGTAAGGCCAAAGGAAGTTGCTGTGATACTTGAACATTGTTCAGCTTTGATAATGAATTACCGGGATTGCATTTTCCAGCAAACGCAATGTGCACCAATGCAGGCGCGGAAGTTCCTAAAAAGAAAGATTCCATCAAAGGCAGAAGTGGAAAAGAGACCCGCGCTTCCTCCCCCCGCCGGGGGGAAGAAAGGAAAGTCTGGCGAGATTGCTACATTACTCAAAGCACAACCAAACACAAGGTGCAAAAATTTAGGACAGCGAAATGCTACCTTCAAGTTCCATTTACTTCCTGAAAGAGGATCACCAGAAGAACGTGAGAAAGCACTACCATCAACATTAATTGCATACTCAACAGTTCCTCTCTTTCCTTTTTCCATTTGGTTCCAGAATTCCCTTTCCAAATATGCCGAAGGGAGACATCCAGAAACGCAATATTTTCGAGCCGCTTCCTGGTTGGCCATGCTCTCAAAGTTGCGAAGAGTATAATTCCTAGATGATAGCCAAAGTACAAAACAGGTAGATATGATCTTCAGAAGATGATAAAAAAGGTTCAAATAGATATGACAACCAAACAATGATACTATCAATCAAGGGATAATTTTCCCACTCCAAAGTTCAAGCCCTGTGTCCCTATCAAAATTCAATTAGACAACATAGTTGATAGTACCTTCCTCTGAAATGGAAACTAATCTTGTCATCATTATCCCATGTTGCAAGCCTTAAAGGTTGCACTTGAGTTGTGAATTTGAAACCTTTTTTCTCCTTCATCAGCACCACACCAGCAGGGATAGATGAAATCAGGGGAGAAACCACCTTACAAATTCCTGGGATTCACTTTTGCATTTGAGTCAACATGAAAGACAATAAACTCCAGACAAGAAGAAACTCGTAGTTGTTGCAAATTCATGCATGAGTACGTCTGCAATTCTGCATGCTACTTCGACATAACGGTTTCTTATCTAGTAAAGTAGGAACCAAATGATCAGTTAACGGTGACAGGATTTTGAATGTTATTAGTACCATATTTTGATGCTTCTGGGGCAATCTTCTGCAGGTATACAAATGGATCGTCAAATTCATCCGTTGATGGATGATACACAGGACAGTGATGGATTTTGTCCATCCATCCGGGATTAAATGACCCTGCCAACTCATCTTCTTCTTGGGATCCTGAAGAACATTTGGTAAGAACGGCTTCCTGAAGAAGATGCAGTGAAGAAGAAGAATTGCGAGTGGAGTGGAGTCTCCTTTTGGGCTTTGTGCTGGTAAGTGCAGGGATAACTATGGAGGGGCGGTCTTGCTTAAGCCTTTCATTATGAGGATTGGTCCCAGAAGATAAGGTATGCCTGGCTTTCAACTGACACATAAACTAAGAAGCGGTTAGATTGACTTATTAAAGCGAATCCCTTAAATTCCTGCACTGTTGACTCTGGAGGAAAAGGCCCGCCGCCCCCGGGGGGGAGGGGGGTGGGTTATCAAAATCACAGGGGAAGTATTTCAAATGCAAGAACATCAAGGCAATCATATAAACTTAAGTCGGTGCAAGACAGCCAAAAGAGAGACTATGGGATGCATTTTGTGAGCAAAGGATGGAGAGATCAAAGGCTTAATTAAAGAGAAAAAAAAAAAAGGAGATGGGTCAACTTAATCATTCATGATTCAACATCCAAAGATCATCAACGGAGTGTTGATGTCTAGAAGGAAATCAGGAATCGATCCATTTATGATGTCTAGTTCATGCTAAAAAAGGGAAAACATGGTCAATGATCCAGTAAACAATTGCTGTCTAGTACTTCAACGCAGACAATCAGTAAGAGTTCCCCGAGACTTGCCCCCAAATTTCTACGCGATCAGACAAGTACTAGTAGTATTAGCATATTCTTTCAAGAAATATAAAAAAGAAGGCAAAAATCCACATGGAAATCAGAGTCGATATAGCAGGTTTCATATTAAGTAGGAAGAAAAATTTCAAAATGAAGCAAAAGGGCCGCAAGCACGCATACAAAGAATCAGTCTCAGTGTGGAATCAAGTGTCAAAACGAAACGGAAGAACATAGGAAAAGGAAATTCAAAAGGGGAGATCGGGCGTAGTGTCAAATTTCAGTACCGTCTTCTTCTGTACCGTCTTCTTCCGCTTCATCATTGACATCCTTCAAACGATTCCCTTTCTTCTTCTTTTTTTTTTCCTTCTTTTTCTTTTGGTAGCAGGGGAAATGGCGGGTAGCGAAAAATTGTAATTGGAGAGAGATTCAATATCACTAATTAACTGCTTCAGAAAAGCAGAAATGAGAGAGAGAGCTTGTATGAAACAGAGAACATGTTGGAGAAGAAGCGCCCCCAGTTTTCAGGGGGTTGGATGTTGGGCTGGCGCCTTTCCGAACTTTTAAAAAAAACAAATAACAATAACAAACAATAAGGGGTAACAAAAAAAAAAAAAGGAACTTTTGAAACTATATAGGTTCGGGTTTGGCCCGTTTGACGCGATGTTCCGCGTCTCGTTTGGGATTTTCGGGTTTTGTATTTTTTTTTCTTTTTGGTTTTTTTTTTTCGGTGGAGTGATTCGCAGTTACCATGACCACTAAAAATTTCAAAGTCGCCACTTCATCAAAATTAAAGGTCAATCCTAATATTCTTGTAAGTCGTAGTGCAATAGTAAGTAGTAACTAATGGAAGAAAGGCACACCTTTGTGTGTCTGCAAATTAAATGAAAAATTATTAAGCCAATATATATATATATATATATATATATATATATATATATATATATATATATATATAAACTTTGGTAACTTCTCTTCAATCAACCACATTTAACGAGTAGAGTGATATGTCAATAGCTTCCAATTGTCAGGCGAGGATTTTTAAGGTTTTTTCTAGTATTAGGTTTAGGGTTCGCACTCTGTACGTGATAGTTAATAATGGGAATGGTGTGGGGGGAAGGGTGGAAGGGAAAAAAAAAAAAAATGGAATCCCACCCCCTACTACAAATATATATAGAATGAATTAGTTATTCTCTAGTCCTCTTCGTAAATTTCATGGTAATACAACTTGAGTTCTATGCTTGAAATGACCAGAAATTATCTGTTTGAAAACATACCATTTGATTTATACTTTTTAATATCTGGCAAGCACCTTAAAAAAAAAAGTAAAAAATTTCTATAAGCACATTTTGTAAGTGTATCTTCTATTATTCTCAATTTTTAAAATAAAGTTTTATTAAAATGATTTTCAATTGTATCTTAATTTGAGAGTGGAGATACATTCATAAGAAAAATAGGAATGTTGCAAATCCTGTAATTTTGAAAATTACACATTACTTTTGATCATTAGTTTTCCTAAATCTATGATTGTTTCTATCTCATTTTCTTGGCACTTTAGGAATTTCCCCCCTTGAGCTTTTTTACACTTTCACGAATTTTTAAAATATCAAACAACGTAAAAATAATGATGGAGAGAGTTTGTATATGTTTGTGAACGAGGTTTAGGACGAAACTAGAAGATTTACGTTGACGGGGCAAAGTTCAACAAATCTAAACTTAAGTGTATGATATAAGATATTCTAGAGTTGTTATGGGGTTAAAAGTTTAAATTTCTAAAGAACAACTCTAAAGATTATCTCAGTTTCCTATATAAGCAAAATCCAACTTTCTAAAAATAAAATTTTGTGTTTGGATTGCATTTTCCATGATTTTTCATGGAAAAATTACTGTAGAGATTTGATGTATGTGAGGGAAAAAGGTAATAGGGAAATGTGATCACGGAAAACGATGTAATTTTCCGACGGAAAACTGCAATCCAAACAAGGTAATTAATTTTTAAGAACATCTTTACGAATCTTCAATTTCCTAGGGGAGCAAAATAAGAATCCTAGCCCTCCTTTGTCCGGCTTTGTGTGTGATACTGCAAGAATCCTAAGAGTCCTTGCGTGTACATGTTGATTTTTTGCGCATCAAACTCCACCTAAGAATTTCTCAAAAAAAAAAAACTCCATAAGAACACCAAGTTGATTTTTTGGACACAAACAAAATGGACGCATTTATTTATTTCATTTTTCCTTTTTTTTTTTTTTGGTTTTCTAGCCCCATTAAAAATTTTATTTGTGTTTTCTTATAAGAAATCAGAAGAATCGTTCTAGACGATTTTTTGTCTAATTCAATAAGAAATCTGTCATTTAGAGCAGTTTACAAAATATATATATTAAAAAGATTATGAAAAATTGAAGCCAAAAATTCTGTAAGAATAATACTGTAGAATATCATGTGATGCTCAAAACTTTATATAGAGATTAAGACATTGAAATTTTAGAATTGTCTTGTGATATCATCACAATATTCCAGCCATGAACAAATTAATAATATTTATTATAAGACACAAAAGTAAGAACAATAAAAAAAAATAAATTATTGTATAGGTCAGTCCGAAGTCCCAACTCCAAAAGGCAAAAGGCCGAAAAAATATTGAAACAGACAAAAGGCGAGAGACAGAGGAAGCTTCCTGACTTGGCTGCTTTGGGGATGTGCAATTGCGCGCAGCAGCAAGCAATCAACCAACCCAAAAAAAAAAAAAAAAAACTATGAAATTAATAATGGTAGCAGAGCCTGGCGAGCAGCACGCTACATATATGATGATATGACTTCTTTTTAAAAAATAAAAAATTATAGTACCAATCATTTCTCACAAATCATTATTAAATTGTTAGTCATGCCCCAGTTAATGTTTAATTGTTTTATGTTTATGAATGCATAAATACATCATCAATAATATTTTTATATTATTCATATTTATATTAAAAAAAAATTAGAGTTTCTAAATTTTAATTCCCTCCCTATCCGATCCACCTTTTTAAATTCCCCTCTTCCCGGGCCGGGAAGGAATTCTCCTAATTTTTTTTGTTTCCCGGAAGTCGTTGTCCTTCCTCTCCTACCTCAACTGCTAAGTTTGAGACCGGCTACAGAAGCCAGAGATTAGGAGAGGACCTTGAAACTTGTGGAATATTTATGAGTTTGCAGACTACTGAACGGGAATCCTTTTTTTTTTTGCTAGTACTTGAAAGTTGGCGACTCTCCTTCTGGCGGGCCTGATACTTGACGGAAGAAGGGGGGCGGGGGAAAAAACTAAAAAGATGAGTTTTGAAGATCTTGAGTTCGGCCGGTCGATGACGATACGTGGTGATCAGACGAAGCAAGACTGTAGTCGGGCGCTGGCCGGCGATGTCTTTCGAATCAAAACAGCCCTGGCTGCCTTTCAACGCCTCGTTTACAACCTTGGAACTCCTAAGGACACCCCTCACCTCCGCCACAAACTGTATATAATTTTAATATATCCCTCTTTCATCATCTGAACAGTTAGTTTCCTCTGAATCTTTCCACTAATGTCCGTATTAATTTGCAGGCATACATCAGTGCTACAAATTGGGCAATTGCTCGAGGATGCTTCAGCCAAGCTTAAGCAATCTACCCAAACTCACCCTCATGCTCCAGACGCTGTAAGTTTTTGTCCTTGGGCTGCCACTGCCTGTCCAATTCTCTACATTTTTCAGGTCGATTTCCCCCTGCCCCTAACTCCATCTTTATTAGTACTAGTATGGAGTAAAATCAGAGAATATTTGCCAAACGAAAATTGCATCTTCTGCTGATTAAAATGACTGACAAAGGGTATGGACTATGGAGGGTACGGGGAAGGTACTCGCCAATATGGCTTCGAGAGTTTGAAAGACTGTTGCATTGCTTCATTTATTTATTTTATCATGCATGCGTAAATGCCTGTCACAACTTATCAAAGAAGAAGAACAGCATCTTAAATTGTCTCACCTCATGGAGAGAATGCCGCCATCATACTCCTAGCGACTGCTGCATCAGATGCCTTCCTTTATAAAAAGAAAAACGTTATGTTTTGGATTAGATGAAGGAAACTGCTTTACATGATTACCGCCAAAACGTATAGCATACATTTCAAAGTGGCCTAGGAATTTCTTAAGAGGTCAGGCGTAAAAAATGCTCTTGCAAAGAACCTTCCCTCGGATCTCCCTCTCATGCTTGTCTGCTCGCCTTGTCCGTGTTGGGATTGAACATTGTGTTGCGGCTCAGTCATTCTTCTGCCTTTGTGTCAACATCAGGCCAGCAAGAAGATTTTTGATGAGAAGCTTGCGAAAGAGATTGCATACATTCATAGAGAGTTTCAAAAAGCCCAAAGGCTTGCAGCAGAGAGGGAATCAGCTTATGCTCCTTTGACTCCCCACCAAATTGTGTCATACAGGTAACTTTTTGGGATGCATAATCCCAAACTCTGGAATTTGATAGAAAATTTAAAATAACAGAAACTGTTAACGTGTATCCTGTTTGAGTTCCGTGTTGTTGAAATATGTGCCTTATATTTTAACTGACAAGTCGTTCAAGAGCCTTAGAAGAAGAAGAATCCTATGCAGTTGATTAGATGAACAAAAACTTAAAAAGACTGCTGAAACTCTACTCTCTTTGGTCCCTCTTGAAAGGCCCAATTAGTGCTTTGCAATTGACACAAGAGATTTCAAATTTTATCTCTTCTAACAATTGCTACCGTAGCTCACTTTATTATCTCTTACGGGGTGCATTTTGATTTGTAGAGATAATGCGTAAAAACACTTTGAATGGCTCTTAGCATGTTCACCTCAATGTTGCAAATGAAACACAACTTAATGATGCTGGAAATGCCCAAGGGCCACCTGAATGGAAAAGAAATTTGGAGCTATTCCTTTTACTTAGTTTAGTGCTATTCTTTTGGTAGAAAAATCCTCATGCCCTTTATGTATACTAATCATAAACCTGCAGTATTTGCTTGATGCTATGCACTTCATATTATGCGATTTGTTTGCAGTGATAGCCCCAGTGAACCGGATATGAAGTCGATGAGGAGTAAAGAGCATGCGTCTCTTATGATCGATGCAAGAAGGTAAAAAGAAAAGACGCTATGGGTAAACCTGGTACTGGTGCAGATATTTGATTGCATGACTATTGAAGCACTGGGTCAATCCCCATGCGTTCAATTCCAAATCGAAATTTGCTGTTACTATTTTCTTATTTTCCCCAGTGTCTTCTTAAACGATGGATGACGACCTCTGGTTGGTTGTAAATTGGATCTATTTCATACACGGGCTTGTGAAGATAATAGTAATGAAAAATGCATGGCACTGAATTGTTACTGGATCCATGAGTACATCCTACTGCCGCCATGTTAAGAAGCTGTTGTTGGAGTATGAACATATTATTGCGTCTCATGTTAGTTTGGCCTATTTGATTTGGTTTCAGTCAGGACGTGATTAATATGGAAAGCGAAATAGTACTGAATGAAGCCATAATAGAAGAAAGGGACCAAGGCATCAAAGAAATCCAGCAGCAGATTGGTGAGGTGAATGAGATATTCAGGGATTTAGCTGTTCTCGTACGTGAACAAGGAGCTATGATTGGTTAGTCACATGCACTTGTGTTCGTTCACCTGATTTCTATCCACAGTTCTTCTTTTTTTTTTCCCGGTTTTTGGGAATGGGGGAAGACTGGAGAGGAGGAGGGAAGGCGTTAAAACTTAAAAGAGCGCTACTGCAAGTGGTGGTAATGGTTTTCCATTGTTCAGATGATATCGATACAAATATTGAAGGCTGCCGAGATGCTATTGATCAAGGCGCTTCAGAACTCACAAAAGCATCATCCAAGATCCAACGATCTAATTCCTCTACGGTGAGTGCCTCCTCCTCCTCGCTTTTGTTGTTTGTAACTTTGTAGTGTGTGTGTGTTTCTTTTGCCTGTTCCAACTTTTGTGTAATTGAGTTGGGGTGGGAAGCCTCACATCACATCACATCCAAAAATAACTTTGGTGTTTTAAAATTTGTAGAAGTGTTTGGTAGTGGTGATTTTTGGAATCATCCTTCTCATCGTCGTAGTCGTGGTGGCGGCGTGATGGATGATTTTATGTCGAATCGAAGGAAAACTAGGATCGGCCGTCCAACTCTGCCAGTGCCTCATCAAGTCCGCTTGTGAATTGTTATGCTCCTCTTCGCAGAGGCATTTCGCCCGTTTTTTAACATAATAATAATAATAATAATGTGTGGTCGTGAATCAAGATGGTGAAGCCAGCCAGCCTCTTGCCCTCGGAATATACTCTCTGTTAGTGGGAAGATAGATATGTACCTCTGTGTGTGTGTGTTCTTTACATCTCTGCACCAATTGGAAATAAAATCATGGGATTTGTTTGGATTGTGAATTATTAGAGATATTTTTACTGTAACATTTTTTGTGATGTGATGTATGTGAGATAAAAAGATAATTGAAAAGATAAGAAGGTGCGTTGAAAATTGTAATAATGATGTAAGCAAATATATTTTGACAAATAAATCGTAATCCAGACCTGTTATTTTCTTTCATTCAACACCTACAACATCCAAAAAAAAAAGTGCTTCTGTTGCTGACATCAAAATATATAACTTGTGAAGCCACGATTCCGGATGTGGATGCCATGCTAGTATTTTTCGTTTTTCTTTCCACGAGAGAGAGAGAGAGAGAGAGAGAGAGTAGCAAAGAATTAATCACAATAAAAACTATTAAAAAGTCGATATAATTTTAATAATATTTCTCGTAATACCATTTAACACCCTTTAAATTTTTAAATCTCACTTACTTTCCTTAAATTGACATTTTTTAATAATATTTTAGTTCCTTTGGAGGAAATGCAAGAAAGATAAAATTATGCTATGACATTCTTAGATGTGTATTTGGTCATTAGATCATTTTTAGTAACATTTTTAATTCTGACTTATTTGTAACCTTTTTTTTTTCTATATGCGGGATTTATATTACAAACTACAACTATAAAGAGATTATTTTAATTTTTGGTATAACTTAAATTACATAATATATTATACATCTATATTTTAAAAAATTTCTTGACTCCTCATAAATATTCCAAAAAAATTTTCAAAATGTTAATTATTTAAAGAAATCTTTTTAAATAGTTGACTTTGATTAGATTTTAATTTACTCGTGTTGTTGCTGTCTCACTATCACCTCAATACAAAAAAGTATGAACCAATATTGGGTAGCGGTTTATTATTATTATTATCTACGTTCTTTGGTTTGAAATTCTTTTTGATAATTTTTTAAATCAAAATTATCCCTAAAAAGTAGAACAAAGTACTGTAGCAGTAGTTAGGAGTATAGTTATTAAACTCGACCAGATCCAGCAGTTGAACCGATCAAACCGGTGGACCCGTCATGGAGTCGGGCTGAGTTAGCAATTGGATCGGAGTTGCAGATGATTCGTTTTGAACAGTTTGACTCGGACAGTGGAACTGTTGACCTTTTAAATCTAGCAGGTTTTGAAAATTTTTTTGATTTCACCCTTTTGCCTAGAGATGGCAAATCAACCCAATTAATTAAATTTACCCATACCCGCCCATGAATAGATGGGTATGGGTATATTAAATGGGTATTATTGGGTAACCCATCAAACCCAATTAACCCATTTAGAATTCTCTTCCCCCCAAGTCTCTTCTTTTCCCCCACCCATTTTTTTTTTCAAATTTTTCATTTTGTCATGATGTTAACTACTTTTGTTTCATTATTGCTATTATTATTATTATTATTATTTGTTGGTTTTATCTTATTATTTTATTTTCTCTTAGTTTGTTAACTTGCTCATTTTTCAGCATTACTAATTTATGATAAATTTTAGCCTATTTTCTTATCTTTCTAAAATGAAATTTTAAATTTATATATGAAAAAAATGTTAGGGGTTCAAAATTTTTGGATTAAATTTTTATATTAATTTTTATAGTACTTAGTTCAAATTTTATATTCTTATTATTCAATTATTAAATAATAGGTAATTTTGTGACATAAAGTATAAATGAAAAAAAATTGGTAATTAAGTTTATTGAACATTATAAATAAATTTTTAAAACTAATGATAGGTACAAATAGTGGTATAAATTGATAACTTAGTTTGCAAAAATGAATTTAAATGAGTTTACAAAAAGTTAAAATAAATGGGTTATAAATGGGCAATTGGGTTACCCAATTCATTTTTTGACGTACCCATTTATACCCATCTAATTAAATGGGTATAAATGAGTTGACTCACTTATATCCATTACCCATTTTACCCAACCCAAACTCGCCTAAATCACCCATTTTGACACCTCTACTTTTGCCCAATTTTTTAATTTGATTAACCATACCAACATGGGCGTTGTGGTCTTATTGACAATTAGATGAGAAAATTAAAAAGGGATATTAGGGTTTCTTTTTTTGTTTGACACTTAGATTTATCATTTATGTTTGTGTATAATATCAATATGAATTCATGAACTAAGGAACACGTATGTGTATGGTTTGTGTATATGAACTATGAAATATGAATAGATTATGATTTGCTAACATTTAAGAAAGGGAAAATATCAGAAACCTCCCCTGAGGTTTCTTGAAATATCACTAAACTCCCCCCACATTTTGGAAATCTCTCTTACCACCCCTCAAGTGATTGTGGGGTCAGAAGTCACTAGTTGACTTCATCAGTTGCCAATAATACCCTTGTTTCTGCTATTACCTTATTTAGCTAATAAAAGAAAAAAAAATTTTAAAGTAAAGAAATTAAAACAATTAAATATTTTACTCTTAAAGCTTTTTGTGGACATTTTACTCTCAAACATTCAATTTATAATAAATATATAAATATTTTTAAGTAAAATTCAAAAAGTGCTATAGTAATTTCTTACGAAAAAAAACTAGTAAGTTATCTATTTAACATAAATTAAATATTTAAAAAAAAATAAATATCCCATAAAGTACCAACTCCTTATGGCTTTTCTCTATTACATGAACCAAGTATCAGGTTTGTATGGGCATTTTATTATGAATCATTTAATTTATGTTAAATACATAAATATTTGCAAATAAAATTCAAAAGCCATTACACAAATATTTTTACAGAAATAGCAGTAACCTCCCTTAAATATAAATGAAGTATTTGAAAGTAAAAAAAAAATTGTCCATAACATACCAGTTCTTTACGAGTTTCTTCCATTATATGAATAAAGTACTAGCTATTTATGAGTACTTTACTTATAAATGAAATTCAAAAAATGTTTCACTAATATTATTATGAAAGGGAAACTGGTAGGTTTTGTATTTAACATAAATTAAATACGTGAAAGTAAAAAAAGAAATTACCCACTTTTTATTAGCTCTTTACGAGTTTCTTCTATTATATGAATAAAGTACTAGCTATTTATAGGTATTTTACTCTGAATCATATAATTTATGTTAAATACATAAATGTTTGTAAGTAAAATTTAAAAAGTGATATAGTAATATTTTTGTGAAAGGAAAACTAGTAGGTTTTGTATTTAATATAAATTAAATACGTGAAAGTAAAAAAGAAAAAAGAAATTGCCCATAACATATCAGCTTTTTATGGGTTTCCTCTATTACACGAACAAAGTAATAGCTATTTATGAGCATTTTGCTCTGAATCATTTAATTTATATTTAATATACAAATGGTTGTAAGTAAAATTCAAAAAGTATTACAATCATATTTTTACGAAAGGGAAACGGGTAGGTTTTGTATTTAACATAAATTAATTATGTGAAAGTAATACTCGCAGATAATTTAATTAGTTTAATTAGTTACTTAATTAAATGCATTCATTTCATAAACCCTAAAGGATGAGTTTAATTAGTTTAATTGTATGAGTGTCCTAATTAAAGGATGAACTAGCCATTTCTTTGCCCAGTTACCTCTCCATCTGCGCAACTATTTCAAGCGGTAGTTTCACCTTTTAAAGGAGAAACTGGAAGCACTCAAAGTAGCCGTTGCATGTCCAACAGTCATGCAACAGTGCTCATGCCAGAAAAATACTCTCCAATTCACATTTTCCACCTACTGTAACTTTCTTATGTCATTGAATCAGTCAACCTAAGGGTATTAAGGGAACTAAAATACTCTCCCTCCTCCAAAATGCATTTTTTATTGTTACTTTTGCTTAGAGGGGCTGACATTGTTAAGAAAATGTCAATTCAAAGGGTGGTAAGAGAGATTTCCAAAATGTGGGGGGAGCTTAGTGATATTTCAAGAAACCTCAAGGGAGGTTTATGATATTATCCCTTTAAGAAATTATATTATAATTTATATATTTATTTAATTATATTATAATTTTTTATTATCTATTGTGACCCAACTAGAGGTGGCAAAATGGGTGATTTGGACGGGTTTGGGTTGGGTAAAATGGGTAATGGGTATAAGTGAGTCAACCCATTTATATCAATTTAATTAGATGGATATAAATGAGTAAGTTAAAAAATGAGTTGGATAACCCAATTATCCATTTATAACCCATTTATTCTAATTTTTTACAAGCTCATATAAATTCATTTTGTAAACTAAATTATCAATTTATATCATTTTACACCCATCATTAATTTTAAATATTTACTTATTATGCCAAATAAGTCTAATTATCAAATTTTTTTTCCATCCGCATGCCATGTCGCAAAATTACATATTATTTAATAATTGAACAATGAGAATCTAAAAATCTGGACTAAATAATAAGAAAGTTAACCAAAAAAATTTAATCCAAAACTTTGAACCCCTAGTATTTTTTCGTTTATAAATTTAAAATTTCATTTGAAAAGGTAAGAAAGGAAGCTAAAATTTGTCATAAATTGATGATGCTAAAAAATGATCAAATTAATAAATTACAAGGAAATAAAGCGATAAGATAAAACCAACAAATAAATATAATAAATAAAACAAAAATACTTAACATAAAAAATGGTTAAAAATCCTGATGAAGACTAGCAATCACTTCATTTAGCATACAAATAAAGACAAATTTTCAATAAATACGAATAACAAGCATTCAGCTTCTCAAGCTTCGTACAACTGCATAGCATAAATGATAAAACTCCTTTAGCTCACTGGTGAATGAAGAAAAAGAACGTGAATGAAGAAAAAGGTACCCTTACATTACAAAAATTTCAGTGTCAATTTTGCATAATAACTGCAGGTTGCTCTGCTAGCACAAATTACCACCAAGCAGGTTGAACAAACTTAACACAGCAGAAAGACACATATTGTAGCAAGAAACAAATATTATTCCCTGATTTGAATCCTCTGATAAACATCAAGGAGAAGAATAAACCAAGTTTAGTTGACAACATCGAGGACCAGCTTAAGTGACTTCAAAACCGACCATTTCAAACGCC